TTTCCTGCTCTATCAGCTGTCATTGACATGTGTTGGAAAGATTTACAAGTAGATTCTTTGCCTGTTTGGCTACATTATCGAAACACCTTTGTTAGCCAATTATTCCTGAGGTAGAATTAAAGTTTCTGCCTCAGAGGCAGGGATACTTTACATTACAGACAAGACGACCCCCTCATAGTTATATGATAATGTGTTTCAATCCTTATAACAGCAAAGTACTCAGAATGCTTAGTAGATTGACTCACACCATGATCCCTTCAATGGACAAGCTGAATTATGGACAAAATATGAAGATAAATTAATAATATAAATGAAGAGACAGGAGACAGAAGAAGAGCATAAAAGATCATAATGGATAAAGTGCCAAACCCGAATTGAAAGATAGAAATATGATAATATGAAAAATGTAAAGGGCTTATAGAGACAAAGAGAGAGAGAAAATGAGATTGGCATACTGAATGAGTTGGAGATTGGGCGAATAGTGCAAAAACAGCTTATAGAATAGTTATTGGAAGATATTATTTATGTCTTCATAAGCCAAAAGTGGGAAATCAACTCATATAACACACAGTGTGTTATGTACAACAGATGTTCTCAACAGAGTGTCTGCAGTCCCAAGAAGATCTGTGAGAAAATTTCAGGAGTCTACCAATTAGTTTGCTCTGTAAACATCAGTATTTTCCTATAATACAATCGTTTCAATGATATAAAGATTATATATTGAGTCGTCAGGTTCTTACTGTTGGGCATCATTTCTATATTGAACAAGTCTCTTGTGTGCCACTGTCTACGGCGATATTTATCTCAGTAAGTTTTTGACCCAGCTGTAATCATTTCCATGTTCTAAAACAACTCATCACTTTTTAACCAATAAATATAATGGTGGCAGCTATGAGTTTCCTTCCTGATGGTTAAAACATGAGATGGAGTCAGGGAAGGCCTGTTAGAATGGTGGTGCGAGCCCTCTTCTCAACCTTATTCCTTCTTCTCATGTGGAGCTGCCTTGTCTCAGTTAGAACTTATTCCTATGTTTGGAAAAGGACCAGATCTTCCAATTCAAGATTCCCTGTTTGAGATGATGAGAAAAGCACCATTAGAGGAAGCAGTGCACGCACCACAGAGCTTTGGAGGGAAGAAGTGAGAGTATGGAAAGAGAAAGACTTCCCAGTCTCTGTGACTCTGGGCAATGCCATAAAAATCAGGATCAGGATCATGACAATCTCCTTCTATGTCTCCAGAAAAAGTTGATAAAATTCCTGAATATGATATTGCAATTTTCCTCATACCTTCAAGTTGGAGCTTTCTATTCATGTCCATGTGAATTCTTGATGGTTGGAAAGGCGGAGTGGATGTACATGCTTTTTCTGAAGGGGTTGGTGGTACTAAAGCAGTAGTCAAACCCACATCTATCATTAATAAATGCTGCAAACATTTTTTAAATTGCACATGATTGCTAGGAAGTTGATAATGCCATATGCCATTAAAACTGTCTTGAAAATTTTCAGATAGCAAAATGTCAGACAAACTAGATGTCAAGTGATGGATTGATCTGATATTGGAAAGCGTAGTTTGTAGTGAATTGATCAGCTGCTTAACAATGACCAATCTGATGAATTTACAGATATCTTTCTCACCTTTATTTGGAGATATGTGTGGATAAGAAAATAAAAGGCTTTGTGTTTTGCAAACAATTCAACACAACAACAAAGTCTGACAACATTTTAAAAATTTTGGATTATTTCCTGACATCAGCATATACCTACTAGACAAATTGCATTGAGGGGGTTGTGTACAATTGGGCTAAGGGTGCAATGTGGACATCCTGATTTCCTCTGATCAAATCCAGAATGGAAAGGTGGCCTTACTATCCAGAGACCAATTCAGGTCCTAAAGTTGCCTCTTAAGAGTTAATTATGTACCTTGTTCTGTTGCTGATGATGATATTCAACTACAGACGTTAGCTTTTTGTTATCGGTTAAACTGAGCCCTGCCTGCTCTGTGGGATGGCCGTAAAAGTTCATATGATACTTCTTGAAGAATAGCAAAGAGTTAGAGACAAAAAATAAGAAAGAATAACAAAGAGAATAACTTCTTGAAGAATAATGATCTTCTAGCTACTATTTATGCCTAATCAATAGTACTAAAACCATATAGCATTTGTGGTATTTTGCACAAACTGTTGTGTTTTCTACAGGACAGCAAAGCATATCCCTGAAGTATCAGTCAATTTTATATTTTTATCCTAAGTTCCGAAGGCTTGGACCCAAACTCTGGAATTCCCTCCCTACAACTCTGGTCCTGTCAATCTCACTCTCTTCCTTTAATGTAGCTCTTAAAAACTATTTTTTTGGTCAAGATTTTAGTCATTTGATTTAACATCTCCTTATGT